GCAGGAATTGCAAAGGGCAGAGTTATTACTGCTGAGGTTTCTAATGTTTATGAAGACAGCATATTTACCTGAAAACTTTTTAAGAGTTCTGGAATAAAAGTTCAGGGTTTAAATGCCATTTCTTGGTAGTTACTAGCTATATGATCTTGGGCAAATCACTGGAACTCTCATTCTGTTTACTGACCTAGGCTATGGACAAAATAGCTGTCATCACATACATTACTTAGGAGTTTAGAGCACTGCATTTAAGAGATGATACCTCACAGAGAGCAGCCACTCAGTAACTCTTAGTAACTTCCACTCTGCCTTCCTAATGGTATCAAACTAAAATCCATGTACTACTTTAAGAAAACACAATAAAGTCCCCAAAGTTAAATACGACAATAAATTCAAATCTTGGACAAGGCAAAGATGAAAGAACCAAGTTGGCTAATATCTGTCAAATAAGATACTAAAGACATTTATATGCTTCAACTGCAGTTAACTCTTTCCTGGAGTCAATAACCACATGATCCTCCTATCTTTAGAATACTTAGATGAGATGAAATGTGTCTGCTACTTGAAACTGAGACAGAGGTGGAGGTTCTGGGAAGGGTAAATGCAATTCAGAGGAAGAACCAAATAGCCACAGCTTTTTTTGCAAAGATATAAATTTCAATGCAGTGCATTTACACCTTTCACCTTTAGCTCTAACATGTTACACATATCCCTCTGCTAGCAAGTGGTATTTTCCAAACCCCAAATATTCTTAATTCACCCATCCGGCTACTGAAGAGCAGAACGCTTTACACTGCTGATAGCAATCAACGATTTTTTTTTGCCACAACCCCACTAAGAATGGAAGGGGTTTTTCCTCTTTTTCCATTTGAAAAAGATTACAATTGAAAACAAAATACATTGGGTGGTGAATATACTGATGTATAAAATTGTTGAAATTCATCAACCAAACATTTAGATCTGTGCGTTCAAGTTATATACGTTAATACTAATCACTTTCATAAAAGGTTGAATGGAAACACCCATGAAAGAATACCCTGAAAAATAAAACCAATAACCAGCTTTTCAAAAAAAATTATCAACAAATATGGCAAGAAAAAAAAAAAAAGAAAAGACCTAGAGGGAGAACCTTTAGATTAAAAGAGATTTAAGAGACATACCAATCAATGCAACATATGGACCTTAATTCAAACAGTATAGAAAATTACGAGATATTTGGGGAGATTCTGAACCCTGAGGGAATATCTTATATTAAGGAATTAAATTTTAAAGGTGTGGTTATACTCTTTAAATCCTGTTTATGGTAAAAAAAAAAAAAAAAGAGTAATCTTTTCATCTTTTAAAAATACATATTTAAAAATATCCACTAAAATGATAATGTGACACCTGGGTTTCACTTTAAAATAATTAGGAGGGTTGGATGCAAGAAGATTTCCCATGAATTGTGACTTGTTAAAGGTAAGTGATGAGTACCTGGGGACTCACTGTTTGGTGGTGGGGATGCGGGGCGAGATGGAGTAGACTATTTTGGAAAGTTCAAATCACCCATTGTCAAAACTGCGCCCAAGGCCCAAGGCTTGCTCAAATACCATTTACTCAGAAGTGAAAAATGAATGTCAAATGAATCCAGTCAGCAGAGTGGTTAGACCTGAGGCTGGGAAAAGCACTGACTGCAGTGGGGGCACAGAGAGGCTTCGGAGATGCTAGTGGTGTTTCTTGTCATGTGGGTGTTCACTTTGCAAAACTACACCATTAAGCTGAGCACTCATTATTTGGGTACCTTTCTTTACATGTTGTATTTCAATTAAAATTTTACTTAAAATTACTAAAGGAATTTGAAAAACAGACATTTTTAGTTTGACAGCAAATCTAACACTTTTTATATGTTGAAATATATTCTAAATACCATCTCTTTAAAATTTTAAGTCTTCAGAAACAAAAGTAAATTAAAATTAGCTCATTCAAAATTCGGTCACATGCTCTTTTGGACAGTACCCAAGGCAGAAAGCATAAAAAACTGCAGAAAAACTGCATAAAAGAAACAAATTATAGACTCTTGAAATATATAAAAATATTTTGTTGAAATGAATTTTAAACGTAAATATGTACTAATGAATATTTTAAAAGTCAGCAAGGACATACACCAAAATATAAACAGAGGTTATCTGAGTGATTTAATTTTTTTCCTTTTAGTTTATCTGTATTTCCTGTTTTTTCTACTTTAATAAAATGTTATAATAAAAGTATTAATATACTTTAACTACCCGCAAGCAGCTGGTTTTAATTCGTGTTTGGATACTTTGCAAAAATAATCTTGTATTAACAACAATAATGATAAAGATGTGTTTCCATGCCCTCTCCAGGCACACCACCCTCCCCGAATCTCCATGTGTTCACCAACCCAAAAGCTCTCTGAACCTTGTCCTTCTGGGTTTTTTGGAGGCTTCACTACAGAGGCAGAATTGATCAAATCATTGGCCACTGGTAACAGACCTCAATCTCCAGCCCCTCTCCCCTCCCCAGGATCAGGGTGTGAGAACTGAAAGTTCCAACCCTTTGTAGTCGGCTCCACTGGCAAACAGCCCCCATCCTTGGGTGAGTTCCAAAGGTCATCTCATTAAAGTAACAAAAGACACTTTCTCCCATCACTTAGGAAATTCCAAAGGTTTTGGGAGCTGTGAGTCAGGACAAGCACTGAAGATGGGGTCAATTATTTCTGAGCTAAATTTATTGTACACACAATATATTTTGTTGAAATTCAAATAAAATAATAAGAACCTAGTCTATTACTCATGGACCCTAGAGCCAACTACATCACTCACTAGCTGTGTGATTTCAGGCAAAATACATATCCTTCTTTCTGCTGTTTCCTCATTTATAAATTAATTGTAACTACTTAGTGATCTGCTAAAAGAACTAAGAGGAGTTTAATATGGGTAAAATGCTTAGAGGAGTCCCTGGTACACAGAAAGACCTTAACTAATGTCATTTCTTTTCCCTCCTAAATGTAAAATAAATTAATTTGTATCAATTTATTTACCCCAAAAAAATTCCTCTGGGAATTAAAAAACATGAAGATATCTTATATGTTGATTTGTGTTCAGTCAACCAGGAATGAATTATTAAAGCAAAATTAAGCACAATGCTATGTGAAGTTAACCTTCAAATCCGTTAGCTATATTTATTACTACTAGCGTATTTCAAGATTCACGGTTTCCCATTTCAAATGACTTAACCACTAAAAGCTAGCCAACCTGTTTAAGTTA